CCTATCCTATCCTATCCCATCCCCTCCCCTCCTATCCCAAGCTATTGCAACCCATCCCATCTCCTGTCCCATCCCTTCTCCCATCCCATCCCAAGACATCCCATCCCATCCCAACCTTACAGCCCTCTCTCCTAGTGCACGGAGATGCCTTCTGATGGTAGATGCCCCATCAACGTCGTAGCCCATTGCTCTCAGGCAGTAGTGGCGCCCAGAAGAGGGGCTGTAGTAGCCCTGGAAGCATCCCCTCCCCGTCACGGTGTACAAGGGTAGCCTGTGTGGCATGTTGGCGAGCAACTCCCTCTCTGCAAGTGGAGGGGCAGTGAGGGTGAGGAGGAGCAGCCAGCCCATCACCTGGATGGACGCCAGCATGGCATGGGCACAGCTACAGCTGGAGTACAGGGACAGGGCAAGGGCAGTTACCAAATTGACTGAGGCAGGTGGGTTTCAGGGGATATGGCACGGATATGCTGTGCATGATGGTCTCCATCCTTGTCTCCTGCAAGGAGTGATGGCAGCCCTTGCTGGATTGCCACCCTTTCTCTGCACAGCCCGAGGTGCCAGAGGCACCTGAGGCAGCTCCCATTTGCGGGGGTCAAGGGGGCTGGACATCACCTTGGGCAGGAGGGGGATGTAAAAGGAGTGTTTATTCCAGGCTGTGCTGTTGTAGGGACCTGTTCTGCAGGTGATGTGTTTGACTTCGTTGACAAAAACTGGGTTGTACCTCTCTGCAATGCAAAAGTGACAGGCAGGGGTGTCCTGTGGTGCTGGGGATGCAGGGGAAACACCGGAGAGGTCCAGCTGTTCTCCCGCTCCCCAAAACTCAATGCCACGGGGCCAAGGAGGCATGACAGAGGTGTCGTTCCTGGAGTCCTTGTTAAGGATCTCTGATGGAGGTGACACCCACTACTTCCAGCTTGTTGGTCACTTGTCCCTGCCCACACAGCCTTGATCCCTGAGGTCTGTGGGGTACCAGGAGGGTGTACCCCAGGCAGTGCCTACCACCAGGGGATATTTAGGGGCCACCAGGGGAGAGAACCCTGGGGACCTGCAGACATACCAGGGACAGCCTCAGTACAGGGATGGGGATAGGCAGCTGTGGCAAAGCCACAAATGCAGATGCCAAGGGAGGGTCCCTTCACCAAAGTGGGGGGGATGCATGATGCAAAAAGGGGGATGAATAGAGCCACTGCCGGCGCCCTCATCCTCCCGACCCCATGGGGATGTGGCCCGTGTGACACAGGGGGACAGCTGGGACCTTAGCAGTACCTTCGGACCTGGCCAGCCAGTACTTCTCATTCCAGTAGGCAGCGGGGTCAATGGTGTTCCTGTAGTACTCCTGCATGGCCGCCTTAATCAGCTGCTCGGCCTGACCTTGGCTCGCCGGATTTTGCACCAGGGGCATCGTTAATCCCTACAGACAGTGGGGAGTGGGGAGAGACACCCAGGCCACACAGCAGCGTCTGCCTTTGTGGCCAGTGGGGCACGTGGTGAAGCCGATTACAGGGCAAGGGCTAATGCTGGAGACACAGCTGGGGA